GCAGATAAACAGCTGGGACTACATTAGATTAAAGAGCTTCTGCACAGCAAAAGAGACAATAACCAAAACAAAGAGAAACCCCACCAACTGGGAAAAAAATTTTGCACACAACACTAATGTGGACTGATCACAAAAATCTACAAAGAGCTGATGAGACTCAACAAAAATAAATAAAATAATCCAGACAAAAAATGGGCAGAAGAGCTAAAAAGAAACTTCCCCAAGGAGGAAATGCAAATGGCCAACAGGCATATGAAAAAATGTTCAACATCACTTGTAATCAGGGAAATGTAAATCAAAACTACAATGAGATACCATCTTACACCAGTGAGAATGGCACATATTACAAAAACTAGCAACAACAAATGTTGGTGAGGATGTGGAGAAAAAGGAACTCTCCTGCACTGCTGGTGGGAGTGCAAACTGGTCCAACCACTATGGAAAGCTGTGTGGAGATTTCTTGACCTACTAAAGGTAGAGCTTCCACATGATCCAGCAATTCCACTCCTAGGTATTTATTCAAATGACACACAAACATTAATTCCAAAGGGCACCTGCATCCCTATGTTTATAGCAGCACTATTTACAATAGCTAAGCTTTGGAAACAACCCAAATGCCCAAAAATAGATGACTGGATCAAGAAGATGTGCTTCATATACACCATGGAATATGACTCAGAAAACAAAAAAGATAAACATATGCAGTTTGCAGCAACATGGATGGAGCTAGAAGAGACCATGCTCAGCAAAATAAGTTAGAAAGAAAAAGAAAAATACTGGATGGTCTCACTCAGCAGGAATTTAGAAAACCTAAATAAGGGACCAGGAAAAAGACTAATACAAAGGAAAAATCAAAATCAACAAGCAACTATAAACCAGAGACACACTACAGGGGGGCGGGGAGGGGTGGAGAGGAAGGACTAGGGTCAAAATGGGCGGGGGCGTGCAATTGTATGGGAATATAACCAAAATGAAAATGCATACATTATCCAAAAATGAAAAATGATGTAAGAACTATATAAAATAAAATATTAAAAAAGAAAGGTTAAGTATTAGATAAGAATGCTTATGGTACAAATATTAATCCCTCTTCTCACCTCCATCAGATGACATGTCTTACTATGCAAAAAGAGCTCCCAAACTCAGATACAATATGATGATATGTACCTTTGACTTTGTGTGTGTACATTGCCTCGTGATCCCTGTGACTATTAGTTATGCCATTTATATAAATGTAACTCCATTTATAGAAATGAGGAGTCAAAGACTAACATGACTTGAAGACCTACTATGTGCCAAATATTTTCTCTGGTTTATCTTATTTTCTTGTAGTAATTCTGTTATTAGGTGTTATTTTTCATCTTTCTAGTAAGTGCTTTTTCTCTTTTTTTATTATTTATACACACACACACACACATACACATAGGGTTGTTGGAAAAGTCATGATGTATTTTTTCTATGTTTTTCAAGCAAAAATGCGCCATGACTTTTCCAACAACTCAATATATTATTGTCATCTACTGAGTGCCTACCATGGTACTATGCTGAATATATCCTGGTTGATATAAAGGGTCTGAGACCAGAGCAAAGAGGCTGCAGTTGTCAGAAAACAAGGCGAGATCAATGGTTTAGTCAAAAGCAAATAGGAATTATCCTGCATCCACGTTCTCACAATAGTTATATCCTGCAGAACTTAGTACCACAAGCACAATACCATAAGCAGTCTATTACACTGATATGGTACAAATACAGAAAAGTTCCATCAGTACAAGTATCCTTCATGTTGCCAAGATGTTCACTCTTGAGGATTTAGTTTATATCACACAGACATAACTATTTTTGTGCATTACATATGCATGTACATAAGTATTCTTATTCGTCAGTTGACCCTCATTATACATATTATCTTGAAACTTCCTTCTTGATTTATTTATCCTAGTTTTAATATGCACTTAAAATTGTGTATATATTTGAGCTAGTGTCAGTGATATATCTTTGAAATATATAACAACGCCTATGAACATCATTCTTTTAGTTGGTCAGAATTATTTACATATCTAGCATATAGATCGTCTACCACTAAAATTATTTCTGGTTTTTTACTTGCCATAAATTCTGGTTCTTTTCTGTGGGGGAGGGACAGATATATCTTTTGAACTTTAATATCTCTAAACTCAAAGCAATTCACTGTAGGAGAAATTGAACATAAACCCTGTGTTCATTTATTGGTCTTTGATTGCCCAGTGCATTGCCATGAAGAAAATTTAGAAATTCTAAAGACATTTCAAGGAAGTTGAGGATTTTGTGTAGCGTGTGCAAGAAAATATGCAGCTTGCAATCAAGTTTGGAAGGAGGAGATGCCAAAAGGCCTGAAAACGGGAGAATAGTAAAGAGATTAAAGGAATGGGAAGTTACTGAGAAAGAGAACATTAATAATTTAAACAAAATGTGAAAAACCTTAGGAACAGAATTAATCTTGGCAATATTTACCTGGAACCCTTCACTTCATTCTATGTTTTTCTTGTCCCTGTTCCTTCACCCTGTAGTTGAAAATCAAAGCATCAGTTTCCCTATTGTATCCAGGAATGCAGAGACAGACTGAAGAACTGAAGACCAGAGTAAGGAAGGTCATGTCCCAAGAGCAGACCGGTCCCTGGCCACGTGGACATGGTTGAGTCACTTCCCTTGTGCAAAATTCAACTCAAACTATAGCTGTTTTATTAATTGAGGTGTAATAGACATACAACATTACATTGGATTCAGGTACACAACAAAACTATCTGATATTTATATGCATTGCAAAATTATTACCACAAATGTAGTTAACATCCATCAGTCTATGTAACTACAAATTTTTTTTCTGGACATGAGAACTTTTAAGATTTCCTCTCAGCAACTTTCAAATATGCAATATGATGTTACTAACTATAGTCACCTTGCTGTATATTACATACTTATGGCATTTTTTTATAACTGAAAGTTATACTTTTTGAATCTCTTGATTCAATTTCCCACTCCCCACCCCTGCCTCTAGCAACCACCAATCTTTTCTATCTGTGAGCTCGTTTTTCATTCCATCTGTAAATCATCATAAAGTGTTTGTATATCTCGGCATGACTTATTTCACTTAGTATATAATGCCCCCAAGGTCCATTTGAGTTGTTGCAAATGGCAAGATTTCCCTTTTTATTTTTATTGTTTTTCAAAGATTTATTAATTTATGCATACAAGAACTGGGGTACAGGCCAGAGGTGCAGGGGGTGAGAGGACTCCTCAGAGACAGAGTGAGGAGCAGAACAGGCAGATCTACTGAAATACACTGCTGAGGGGAGAAATGGGCGAGACAGGAGAGGTCTGCTGCACCATGTGGGTAGCTCCCTAGCAAGCCGGGGATCGAACTCATGCTGCAGAAGCTGTGGATCACTTCATAGTGCTGTGTCTTAACCCCTTGCGCCACTAGAGAGGCCCGAGATTTTCCTTTTTGTGACTAAATAATATTCCACTATATGTAAAAATAAAGTTGTGTATATAATTTCCTTTATCCATTCATATGTGTCTATATCTTTCCTATTTAAATAATGCTGCAATGAACACAAACACACATGTATCTTTTCAAGTTACCAACTATATAGTCTTTATGTTGAGTGTGAATCTGTATTAGTATTGAGGGTGGCAAGGGGAACTGAGTGCTTACCCAAATCTTGAGTTTTATTAACAGTTTCTCTCTTCTGAGTAAAATTTTTCTCTTCTTTCAAATGAAAATTACGCTAACATGCATGCACCATGTTGCTTTGGAGATGAAGGGGCTCCTGACTAAATGAGAGTGCAGACACGCTCAGGCATAGGGGCCTCACTATCTGGTTTCATACCTAAGTTCTGTTACTTAGAAACTCTGTGGCCTTTGGTACACATGTGTGTGAGGAACACTTCTGGTTTGGGGACACTACATGGAATACCATGCAGTTATTTCCTTTGTAATGCCAATTATCCCTTTAGTTCATATTCTTAAGAAATTCTCACTCTAGCATAGGGATCCCTAATAAAAGTACATCAAATAATAAAAAGAAGCACGTGGTAGCAAATGACTTGTGTGAGTCCTAAAGAGAGGCATAATTTGTAAACTGGTGGTACCTCACCTAAATCATCATTTGTAGGACGACAACTTGGAAATTTTCACTGCTATTATTTTAATGTCAAAAACAACGCTAAATTTCTGTCCAAATTGCAAACATTACAAAAGTGCAAAAGTAATCATGCAGTGTCCCTTTCAATTCTGAACTGCTCATTGGCAGTCATTGAGAAAGTTCTCACAGAAGGGACCACAGTGTGAGATTTCGTGCTATTGCTGCTTTTTTGGAAGGAAAAAATAACTGGCTGAACGCCCTCCAGCACGTGGGCAAGGAGCACCAGGGGTCAGCTCTCTGAGAAATGCACTGGGCAGACAGACTGACACCTCCTAACTGTCAGGTGCTAAAGAGAGAACTCCCCTGCCCTGCCAAGTGCACCATCAGAACCATCAGAAAGGGGAAGGGGCAGTGCAGTGGGTCGATGAGGGCAGCAGCGGTGGGGAGAGGCACATTTCCCATTCACCTGCGTGCAGACCACCAAAGTGTTCACAGAATGGCCTTGGGAAGCATCGGGACTATGAGGAATAAGAAGTGCCACACGCGAGCCCCCCCCCCCACCCTTCCAACGCCCTTGCTAGCCAGCAGGCGTCCCTCCCAGAGCCCCAGTTGTTGCAGGGAGCAGGCCTGCCTGTGTGGGCCTCCCATGGAGCACCGGACGGAGTCGCGCGTCACGCTGTCTCCAAGGCCCATCCCGGGAAGCGGGGTGTGTCCTCTCTCATCAGAAAGTCCTGGCCAGCTGCCTATGGAGTCAGGCCTGGGTATCTGCCGGGGCTGCCAGTGTGACGGAGAGGGTCTGGGAGGGGAGCTGGGGCGAGCTACTCAGCCTGGGCCACAGGCACCTGGTTGACCGGGACACACGACACACAACGCCACTCTTTATTATGAAAATGCCAACAATCCGGGTGGGGAAAACAGAGCAACAGAACCAACTGACCCTACAGTAGGGGACTGTGGCTCCTTGGCCAGCCAGGTCGCCAACCCTCACTCTGGGGTGGCCTTAGGGTGAAGAAAAGGGAAACAAAGATGACATACAGGGGGACAAGCAGGACATCCGAGGGCCTGTTTAGGGGGTTGGTTTGAAGGCCTCTTCCGGGATCTTGCCCTGGTTCTGGAGGGAAAGGAGATGGACTGTCAGAAGAGCCAGCTCCCCGAGCCCCACTCCCCCGCCACCCGGCCCCACCTTCTTGGGCCTCCCCAAGGCCCCCAAACATTCATCTTTAAGCCCTTGATTCCCAGACCTGACCTTGAGCATGGTGAAGATCTGCCCAGCTCTGAGGTAGTTCCACTGGTTGTCCTGCAGGCACCTGGGGTGGGAGAAGAACAGGGGAGCTCCGTGAGTGCTGAGGCTCTGAGCTGGGCCACCCTGCTGAGACACGCGTCCCGCGTGAGCGCCGCGTGTGGTGACAAGGACAGACCTAGGTGGAAGCCAGAGCTCCTGTCGCCGGCATTCCTGTCCACGGACTCAAAAGAGAAAGAGAGCAAGCTCTGAGAAAGAGCGAGGCAACTGAATACATATTAGTGAAAATGCTCAAGAAAATAACAAATGAAAATTTCCAAAAGGGAGAAGGAGAAGATGCAGACAATCAGGATCCTTAAGTCATGTTTTCCCCCAGCAATACTGAGGTTAAGTGCCCAGAGGGAGCTGCCACATCTGGAACGGGGCTTGGTGCCGGGGATGTGAGAAGCAGTGTCTCAGCAAGTAGAGCCAGAAACCATTGGAAAGTGAAGCCTGAGAAACATAAATCAGGAAAGGCCCAGTTCATTGGTCCTCCCACTTCATCCCTTCAGGTCCTCCCACCAACCTGGTCAGGAAAGAGCATGATTCACTGTGAGACCAAAGCCTGTTTCACAGTTCAACCAGGTACAAGAGACTGGGATCAGCAGTGGAGACAGCCACATGGTGTCCTGCATGGTCTCTGGGCTCCCAGGAGTGTCTGTGGCTGCCCTGAGGAGTCAGGGAAGACACACCCTATCCCCCTCTTCCCACATGACCTCTGGTCTGTATTTACTGGGAGATTACAGGTGGCCACAGCAAACTTGGTGTGGCTGTGGCTTGTTTAGGGCTGCCACGGAGCATATCACACACTGGGACTAATCCACAATGGGTTTCTGGGCACCTCACATGCCAGTGCTGGGCACACACCCATCACTCCCCTTCCCACCCACACACAACTCCTGGGCTGTACTCACAATGGGTCTGGCAGCAAGGGAGTCTTTCTAGTCCCAGTTTAGGAGAAAGAGCAGCCATATCACCCTCATAGACTTTTCAGCAAGAGGCGTCTGGATATAAGGCTTCAGAAAGACTGAAGACACACCCACCCCCCTTCCTCTGGGAACTCTGGACCTATATCCTCAGTGTGTAATCAGAAGCTTCAGGTAACCACAGGGAACAGAGCCTGTGAACAAAGGGCTTCCTGGTTGCTGGTAGCCATCTAAATACATAAGTCAGCTATTACCAGACCTACAAAAAACACTGACAACAATACAATAATAGCACAGGACCTCAACATACCGCTTACATCAGTGGGTTCATTTCCAACATATATAAATGTTGGTTATATATAAATAACCCATACATCTCAACAATAACAGCAACAACAACAAAACTCAAACAACCCAACCAAAAAACGGGCAAAAGACCTAAATACATATTTCTCCCAAAAGACATAAGATGACCCTCAAGCACATGAAAAAATGTTCAGTATCACTTATTATAAGAGAAATGCAAGTCAAAACCACAATGAGATACACATTATGTTTGTGAGGAAAGCCCATATCAAAAAGACTGGAAACAACAAGTAAATTGGTTCAGCTTCTATGGAAAATGGTATGGAGATTCCTTAAAAATTTTAAAATGGGGCCTCCCTGGTGGCACAGCAGGATGAGCACTGCCCTGTGAAGCTGTCCATAGCCTCTGCAGCGCAGGTTCGATTCCCCACCAGCCAGGGAAATTCCCACATGGCACGGCAGACCTCTTCTGTCTCGCCCGCTCTTCCCCTCAGCATTGTCTTTGATCCCTCTGCGTGTTCTGCTCCCCACTCTCTCTGGTGAATTCTCTCATCCTCCTGCACCTCTGGCCTGTGCCCCAGCTCTTGTATAAATAAATAAATCTTTGAAAAAATTTAAAAGTGGAAATACCAACTGATTCTGCAATACCACTTCTAGGAATTTATCTGAAGAAGAAGAAGAAAACAAAAATATGAAAGACAATTACCAAATAGTCATACTCGATTTTGGAATATATAGAACCAAAGCAAAAAAAAAAAAGGCAAATGAGAAAAAGAAGTCTTAGACTCTGTGAAAAACAGTGGTTACCAGAAGTGAGGGAGTTAGGGGGAGGAAGGAGCAGTCAAGGGACCAAGTGTGATAGTATATTAGCACTAGAGTTTGTGATGGGTGAGTGAAGCATGTGCACATGTGAAAGTGTGAAGTCGTATTTATGAAATTAAAAGGTTATGTAAACAAATGGTAAATCAATAAAATTTGACAAAGAAGGAAGAAATTTCCATAGCCACCCAGACTTCAGCAACCACCACCCTGATCAGTCGGCAGCTACCACTGAGATGAGACAATCCACTAGCAAAAAGAGTATGATTCACTGAAGGCTCAGATGATGGCAAGTGTATGTTAGTAATAAAGTATTTGTAATAGGTTATGTAAATTGTGTTTTTAGACAAAATGCTGTTGCACATTTAAGAGACTACAGTATAGTGTAAAGATAACATTTATATACATAGTAAAGCACAAAAAATTCATGTGACTTGTCTTACTCTGATATTTGTTTTATTGGGGTGCTCTGGGATATTTCTGAGGTCACCTGCACGTACATTTGTGAAATGCTGCCATCTTTGCAATACTAAGTCTTCTGATACAGGAACATATGATGTCTTTCTACTTATTTAAATCATTAATTTATTTCAACATACATTTTGCATCCCTTTAGTAAATTTGATCTTAAGTGTGTTACTTGTTGACATTATTATAAATGGAATTGTCATCTTAATTTCATATTTCTGATTGTTCATTACTGGTGTACAATAATACTATTGATTTTTACACATTGATCTTGTATCCAAAAACAATGCTGAACTTGCTTATTAATTCTAATAGATTTTCAGGGATATCTTTAAGATTTATATATGCAAAGTTAAGTCATCCAAACATTGTAGAGTTTTAAAATTATTTACACATACCACAATAAATTATATATTTTTTCAAGAACTCACTTTGGAAGCACACCATCCAAATAGTTCTGTACCTATTAACTGTAAGTTCCCAATGTCCCTCACTCCCTTTTCCCAGCTTATTCTCATCCCTGGAGACGCCCAGCACTCACTTCTGAGACCACTGGCGGTTCATCCCAGACTGGGTGGAGAAAGTCTGCACCATTTCCTGCTGCCTCAGGGAAAGAACAGGCCTACCGCTGGGCCTTGGCATGAAGACAGTGCTCTGGGTTTCTTCGGTCCTGGTGTTCCTCAAAATCAGTTCATCGTTCACAATGTACAAACTGAAAGAAAGGCCCTCAAACAACTGGGCATTGTATAACCCCAACCTCCAACAGTGATCCCACTGCCACTCAGTGACAAGATTCCATCTACATCCCTACTGTGGCTGCTTCCCAGATTTCTTGGCTGGTGTGGGCGCTGCTCCCACAGAATGCACCCTTGCAGAGGTTGTCTTCCACTTCACTAGATTTGTGGATTTAATCTCAACACATTTACCTTTTATAGCAGCCCAAGGATAGACACTCTAGCCCCCATTTTCAGCAGACAGTAAGTCACTGAGGTCTTTTACTTGACCAAGATCACTCCACTCAGGTAACTACTGGATGTTGGGGTCAGTGGAAGAATATGGCATTTTGACTGCAGAGTTTACACTTTTAACCAGTAATCTAGACCTCTCATTGGGTCTACCTGTTAGCTTTCCACAATATTAAGAAACTTCCAGCCTTCACTGACACATATCTACACCACTGGCCTCAGCCTGGGACGGGTGTTGGTTCCCATGTTGTACCTACAACACAGAACTTACCCAGAATTTGTGCCTGGAGTCAAGATGAAGGTTCGGGTGAAGGTACGAACAAAATCTTGAGACTTTCCTTCCACTTGAATGAGAACAAACAGCAATAGCCCCTTAGAGTTGCACATGCTTTTCACACAGCAGCATTCCCCATTTGGCAGGACCTTACCTGCTAACCTGATACTCCAGCAGCATCCTGATGGGAGCCATACAGGGACAATTTTTCACTGGGAATTGGGAGGGAGCTTCGGGACCAAGAGGGCAACAATAAGAACAATAAACTCCCATTGACAATCCTTAACGTGTGTCAAATCCTCTAACAAAAGCAAGTTTTCCTGGTTCATTTTAAAAAGCAGCCCAAGTGAATGGCATTGCTGGGTCATTTTGTAAATGAGGCAACTGAAAGTTTAGATAATGAGCTCAGGGTCACCACTTAGGGCAGTGAGATGAGAGCTATAAAACTCCACAATCTGTGTCCATAAATGTGTGAGCTGGTGGGGCTAAAAGCCACGGGATATACACCAGACCAGGACTCCCGGAGGCAGGGTGGGTGTGATAATGGGAAGGGAAGGGGAAGGGAAGGAAGAGGAAAGGAAGGGATGGGAGGGGAGAGGTGAGGAGGGTGGGGGAGAGAAGGGAGGGAAGGGGAGATGGGGAAGGGAAGGGAAGGAAAGGGTAGGGGAGGGGAGGGGAGGGAGGGAAGATAGGGGAAGGGAAGGGGAGGGAGGGGGAGATAGGGGAAGGGAAGGGGAAGGGAGGGGAGATAGGGGAAGGGAAGGGGAGGAGAGGGGAGATAGGGGAAGGGAAGGGGAGGAGAGGGGAGATAGGAGAAGGGAAGGGGAGGAGGGGGGAGATAGGGAAGGGAAGGGGAGGGGAAGGGAGGGGAGATAGGGGAAGGGAAGGAAAGGAGAGGGGAGATAGGGGAAGGGAAGGGGAGGGGAGGGGGAGATAGGGGAAGGGAGGGGAGGGGAGGGGAGATAGGGGAAGGGAGGGGAGGGAGGGGAGATAGGGGAAGGGAGGGGAGGGGAGGGAGGGGAGATAGGGGAAGGGAAGGGGAGGAGAGGGGAGATAGGGAAGGGAAGGGAGGAGAGGGGAGATAGGGGAAGGGAAGGGGAGGAGGGGGAGATGGGGAAGGGAAGGGAAAGGGAAGGGAGGGGAGATAGGGGAAGGGAAGGGAGGAGGGGGAGATAGGGGAGGGAAGGGAGGAGGGGGAGATAGGGGAAGGAAGGGGAGGGGAGATAGGGAAGGGAAGGGGAGGGGAGGGAGATAGGGGAAGGGAAGGGGAGGAGAGGGGAGATAGGGGAAGGGAGGGGAGGAGGGGGAGATAGGGAAGGGAAGGGGAGGGGAGGGGAGATAGGGGAGGAGGGGAGGGGAGGGGAATAGGGGAAGGGAAGGGGAGGGGAGGGGAGATAGGGGAGGGAAGGGGAGGGGAGATAGGGAAGGGAAGGGGAGGAGAGGAGATAGGGGAAGGGAAGGGGAGGGGAGGGAGATAGGGGAAGGGAAGGGGAAGGGAGGGGAGATAGGGGAAGGGAAGGGAGGGGGGGAGATAGGGAAGGGAAGGGGAGGGAGGGGAGATGGGGAAGGGAAGGGGAGGGGAGGAGATAGGGGAGGAAGGGAGGGAGGGGAGATAGGGAAGGGAAGGGGAGGAGAGGGGAGATAGGGAAGGGAAGGGGAGGGGAGGGAGATAGGGGAAGAGAAGGGGAGGAGGGGAGATAGGGGAAGGGAAAGGAGGAGGGGGAGATAGGGGAAGGAAAGGGAAGGGGAGGGGAAGGGAGATAGGGGAAGGGGAGGGAGGGGAGGGGAGACAGGGGATGGGGACGGGAGGGGGAGGGAGGGGAGGTGTGGGAAGCTGGGAAAGTTCTGGGAAGGAGTCCAGCCAAAATGAGCAGAAGTGGGAAGCCTGGGGAAGGAGCTCTCCAGACACTTACCTTCTTGAAAACCCCATTGACAGAAAAGTAGACCATGGTTTCCTGAAAGGTGAAAACAGAGCTGTGAGCTCCTTCTGCACCACCCAAGAACTCTGACTTCCTTGGTGTGCCTAAGGGAGGAAGCAGGCGCTCACCGTCTGGACGCACAGTTCTACCACCCACGAGTTAAGGTCATGCTGAGTTCTGGGCAACGTGCAGAGGGATTCAACAATGTCATATTTTGTACTCTTCAGCAGCTGAACCCGCAGGTCTATGGGGGGAGAAGGGAAGGTCAGGCGCTCGGGCCCTATCACTGACCCCCTCACACGCCCTTTCCCATGCTGATCTTGCGCCACACATTTACCAGGATCCTTGAGTGTCTTCATATTCCTGTTATACTTTAAATACACTTCCAAGCTGCTTCTAGGAGAAAAAGGGGACCCGGAGGTGGTGGTCGGGGCAGTGTGAGTGTTTTCAGGAACCGCCCTGTGTCTGCTGGGGAGCCACATGTCCCAGGACCAAAAACGGAGCTGTGATACTCACGAAGCTGGGTCTTCGGGGCTGAAGAGAACAGTCAGGGAGAAGCAGGCCTCTTCGTGGTAAACACTCAGGAGGCCCTTTCGGTCTCCATAGTCATAGATCAAGTAATACCTGTGGGGAGGCAAAGGGGAAAGGCTCTCTCCATGTTTTGGGTCCCTAAGGAGAGAAAACTCCCCTTAACTCAGGAGCAGCCTGTCCCAGCCCTCCTCTGCCTCATGATGCCAGGGTAGCACTTACTGCAGCAGAAATTGCAGGACTAAATTCTTCAGGGTCTCAGATCCTTGATAACTTTCCTGGAATCAAAAGACACCGTGAAACTATGTGGTAGACAAAACCTCCATCACAACACCCCAAATCCTATTTGGTTTCTCCTCACCTTACAAGGCCTTATTATCTCGGGAACATGATTGTCAGTTACAACTGATGGTGGCAATTCCTGGCCATCCTGGGGGAAAGAAGAGGAAGTCAACGGTGCAGACCAGGGTGGCTGCCCTGGATGAGAAAGGAGATTAACAGATCCAGGGTGAACAAGGGTCAGAAGCTGGGCGTGACATTTCCCTTGAAATTCTATTGGCAAGACTATAGAATGCATCTTCAACAGCGAGTCCTGGAAGCCTGTATTATTTACTCCAACTTTTGGATTAGTGAGTGAGTGATGAATGTGTGTGTGTCTCTTTCTGGACAGCTTTTTACTATGAACAATAGCTCATGCTTTTGTCAGAAATCAATGTACCCTAACTGGCGGAGGATTAGATATAATAATATAACTTAGGCAAGTTCCAAAACACTTTAGGACAGTATTGCCTTGTAGTAGAGGTTATCAATTTTAATAAGAGGAGACAATGAGGAACTCAAGCACTTACCAGGCGTAACAGCATGGGGAGACACGCCCGGATGGCACTGTCCAAACAAAATGAAAGGAGTAGCTGACAGTTCAGGGTTGTCAAGCCCCTGCTCCCGCCCCCTCATAGTAACTCCTGGCTAGGCTCCCCCAGACTCCCTCTCCACTGCCACAAGACACAGCATCTGGAACCCCAAGACTGCCCCCATCCCTGCCTGCCTCTGGTCCCCCCTGAGGGCTCCAGAGAGGAGAGGGCATGGGGTGGGAGCCCAGGGCGCTGCCGCCTCACTCTGGCCTAGCACCGTCCCAGGACCAGGACCCCCCAGGGATGGCCCGGATGCTGGGCAGGAGGTGAGTGAGGTGGAACTCGGCAGGCAGGATGGAAAGGGGGCGCATGAAGACTGAAAGGGGTGAAGGCAGGACAGGAGACAGGAGAGTCCCAGAGGCGCAGCTCACAGGAGAGAGAAGGCAAAGGGAAGGGGGCAGGAAGCAGAGGGAAGGAAGGGGAATTGGCTCCCCCGCTGCAGGCCTTCCCTTCACCTGCCCCTGGCTGGCCCTGAGGCCCCACGTGGGCGTGGGAAGCATGCACCTGTGGGGCTGGGGCCCTCCGGGTGCCGCTGGGCCTTCCTCAGCCCCACAGCCCACCGAGCCGGCATGGACAAAGGGGCAGCCACGGGGGCAGGACACCCTCCCCAGAGGAGTGAAGGGCCAGGCCCAGCTCAGCATGGGGGGGAGGGTCTGCGGCCCCGCTGATGTCCCCGCCTTCTCTCTGCTGGCCCTGGGCACCTGTGCCTGTCTTCCTTGGCCCCTTGCCTGGGAACTCAGACCCCTGACGGGCTACCCGGGGCACCTCTGCGGGGCCAGGCAGGACCATGGCCGGGTGGAGGGAGGGAGGGAGGGACAGTGCCCGAGAGGCCTGTCCTCTGTGTCCTCAGACGCCGCTGGCCTCTGCCTTCCCTCCCTCCCTCCCTCGGGAAGCCTCTGCTCACCGGGGGTGGCCCACCTCTGACCCCCGGCTCAGGAAACCCAGGTTTCTCCAAGGAGGTCCCAGCTCCTGGCTCTGGGCCGGAGGGACGATGACATGATGACAGCCATCCAGGGCCTCAGCCCCCAGCCCGGGCCAGGAAAGCCCCGTGTCAAGCTGGGATTGGAGGGGGGCCCTTGAAGCTAGGAAAGTGGGCACCCCCAGAACAGGAGAGGGCAGCCTGGTGCCAGCACGGGGCTGGAAGGCCCATCTCAGCACCAGCCTGGCTGGACGTCCCTTTATGTCCAGGGCACCACATCGGGCTCAGGCTGGTGACTGGTGGTCCCGGCGGGGAGGGAAGCCCTGCTTCCTGGGGCGCACGCTTGGCAGGGCACGCGAGAGAGGCTGGAGGCAGACTCAGGACCAGACCCCAGAGTGGGAGGACAGCGAGCGGGTCGGAGGAAGGAGAGGAGAGCTCTGAGCGCAGATGAGGGACACGGAGGGGAGAGGGCAGACTCGGGCCCATGGTTCTCCCAAAGGCCAGGCCTGCCGCCTCCTGGTGGGAAGCACTGTCAGGGGTAGCTGAGGTTCCCGGGTGAAGGTCCCAGGAAAGGTGGCAGGGGCATCCCACTGACCTCACGTAGGTGGCCCTGTCTGGGAAGGTGTCACACAAGGGGTTCCCATCCAGCCACAACTCTTCAAGCTTCAGCTCTTTCATCTTGCTCACCTCCTCCACTGAACTCAGCTGAGAAACATGGGGAGGAAAATTTGTTCAGAGAAAGGAAGACCTCCAGGCCCTTATACTCCCTGCCTATACCCTTCTTTACAGGTACCTTTGCCTGCCTTCTGCCTCTGAAGACACTATCTACAGTCAACCCAGCTTTGATCTGACTTTTTTCTCACCTCATTTTTTGAGAGGTTCAGAATCTTGACTGTGGGGAGCATCTGTATAATGTCACTCAGGCCATCCAGCTGGTACAGTCTGTTGTTTTGCAAATCCAGGGACAACAACTTGAAGGAAGAACAGTTACTACTTAGGTCCTGGGAGACAAATGTTCCTCCCACCCCATCTGTTTCTCCTCCTACCATAGTGTCAGCACTGGGCATGAGGTCTCACCTCTGGGAAGTTGTGTTTGATGATCTGCAGGATGACAGACATGCAGCCTCTGTGATTCAGGATTATATCAATACCATGGTTCTCCAAATCTTCAAGAAGAGGGAATCAAAAGGCTGAAGGGATCCAGGGTCAGTTGCATCCTCTCTCCAGCATAGCATCCCTAAGTCTCCTTCGTAGGTACACCCCTCTCTGCCCTCACCTGCCCTAGAATGACTGCTGTCAGTCATACCTGGGTCAAAGCAGAGACTCTGCAGGTCAAGACATTGCTGGTAAGAATCATATCGTTTGTACATGGTCAGCTGCAGGGACGGATGGAGAGAGAAGCTCTGAAATTATGCTGATGACAGGGAAATTGGGGGGCTGGGGAAAGAGAGGTGGGTCTGGGTTGGGTGGGCACACAACCCATCTTGCGTCTGTATTACCTTTAGTTGCTCTGTTTCTTCTGGCTTCAACTTATTCTGCAAACATAGGGGTTCAGGCGAGGGACTGACAAAGATAGATATCTGTAGGAAGGAGATGTGAGATAAGCACCAGGGACCCTAATTCCAAAGATGGCCAACCCTGGCCTGTCCTCCTGTCTTGAAATTGGATACAAGAGATGTCCTTGATACACACCTTTTTGTTCTCCTTGTCACAAATCTCGCCGTTGGCGTCTTCCAATGCAGCAGCAACACTAGCATCCTGGACATAGAACCTTGCCCCATATTTCATGTAGTGGAACTACAGGGTTTGGAGGAAACACAACAGTGTCAAGGGCAAAAAGCCCTTGCTGAGCCAGGTCTCTCCTTCCTCCCTGAGCCCACGCATGTGCCCCCACCGCCCTCTCTTACATCCACGGGAGTGAAGGGGACTCTGCAATGTGTCCGCAGTGAATCCATTAGCCAGGTCTTATCATACTTGATCCCATTAGGAATCTCAGGGTGAAAAGAAAGGATGGGAGGGAGACAACATGAAATTAGGCCTACAAGGGCAGACCCAGAATTCTCTATTCTGACCTTTTTTTTCAGTGCTCATAGCTTTATTTAATTTTTTAATTGTGGTAACATTGCTTTACAACACCATATATGATTTAGGGAATAGGTTCCACCTCCTCAGGGGTATGTCAACCCACACCACACTCACTAAAAAGCACCCATAGTCCTTTACCCTAGACCACTGGGCCCTCTCCCTACTTTGTTCTCCACTCCCAACCTCCCCATCTAGTACCCTCAATTATGTAGTCATATTTCTAGGGTTTGTTTTGCTTTAGTTTTGTCAGTTCCTTCTTTCCCTCCTATATTCCACTTATGAGTGAGATCAACCAATATATATCTTTCTGCGGCTGACCTATTTCACTTAGCATAATTCCATTCTGATTTTCTACTGTGCTTAAAAGACTTCTAAAGTGAAAACCATTGACAAAATTTCAACTATTTTTCTGCCAGGCATGGGTTTTTCTGTCTTTGCTATTGCACAATTTATCTCCCAAATAATCAAATTTGGATGCTGAAAATGATCTTTAAATGACTTTTTAAAAAATATTTATTTATTTTACACAAGAACTGGGGTACAGGCCAGAGGCACGGGAGGGTGAGAGAATTCACCAGAGACAGAGCAGGGAGCAGAACAGGCAGACAACTGAAAACACTGCTGAGAGTAGCAGTGGGTGAGGCAGGAGAGATCTGCTGCGCCATGTGGGTATCTCCCTGGCCGGCTGGGAATTGAACCATGCTGCAGCTTCACAGCGCTGCACTCAACCCGCTGCGCCACCAGGGAGGCCCTGAAAATGATCTTTCTTTAATAATGCTCCTAGAGATCCTAACCATTGGAGACCCTACATTTCCTTCTGACAAGGACTCTAGAGACTCAACACTCCCACACTCAGCTTGAATCAAATTGAGGCATCTGGTGAGGAGCTGCTTCATCTCCTTGGCAATCGTCTGCACCTTTGCCTTTAGCCAACCTGCTGTGACATTTCTACAGAAAGTCTTTGCTGTTACATTGCTTTGGGACCTATCCTCAGATGAGCAAGTATGTCATAACACCCCTTGATCTTGCCTCCCCTGCACGTGCTCTACATTTGGTCAGGATACTCACTATGATCTTGAACCAGTCCTGCAGGCATTTATCTTGAGTTTTAGCCTCCATTTCTTTCCCTGGAAGAACTATATCTTGATGTTCATTATGCCATTTCACACAGCTACTGGTGGGTTGGAAGTCAGAAGGTGACTGTGGGAAGTAGAGAAGGAAATGCCCAAACTGTAGAGAAAAACACACAGAAATGCTACAGTCTTCTTTGCACTTTCACCTCAGTGATACAAGATCTACAACTTGAAATAATCAACCATTACTTCAATTACAATAGTCTTTAGGTTTTGTGTGAGAGAAGGAAACGAAGTCCACGAAGAATGAAGAAGTTGCATAGTCCCAGGGGTGCTACACACAAACCACACTGCCTGGTCACTTACTGTCTGACTTGGGGGTCCTTCTGGTCAGCCCTCATGGTCCTGTTTCCGTCACCCTCCTGAAGGTGGGGAGGCTGAAACTTATATGCACATGTTCATAATGAAGGTTGACCTTACCAAAATTGCCCCACTTTCCTTTTCCCTGTTAAAAGGTACAGCCATCCTAATATTTTGAAATTGAGAACAAAATAAAGTTTGAACACACATGAGTGGCCACATACTGTGTGCCACATCTTGTCCTAGCATCAATTTAGAGCAAGGAAATTGTCAACTTCAACTCAGGAGACAATTCTTCTTAACTGCTGCTCTTTTATAACAGGTGTAAACAATGAAGTGTAATGATAGATGTCAACTACACTTTCTAAATGTTTTGACATTTCTCTACTTTTTTGCTGTTGTTGATACATAATTTGATTACATTATAGTCAGAAAACATACTCTGAATGATTTCAATTCTTTTAAATTTGTTGAGGCTTGTTTGATGGCCCAGCAAATAATAGTTGTTTTGATGCTCTAGCAGGTGAATGTTCCGTGGGAACATGAAAATAACCATATACTCGGCTGTTATTGGGTGCAATATTCTATTTATGTCTTGTAGACCTTATTATTTTATTATTAGTCAGATCTCCTATAGTCTTGTCAGTTTTCTTTCTACTAATTCTATCAGTTGTTGAGAGGGGAGGTGTTGAGACCCCTACTGTAATGGTGGATGTGGTTATTTCTCCTTTTCATTCCATCAGTATTTGCTTCCTGTGCTTTGAGACTCCTGAGGTTTGGAAGTGTACGCAGTTAGGGTCATTATGTCTTCCTGATGAGTTGTTTTACCATTATGTAATAACCTCAAAGTTTCCACTCATTTCCTTTGCTCTGATTTCTACCTTATCAGATATTGTGGCCTCAAATATGTTTTTAAAAGTGTTTTGATCATATTTTACACTATCTTTACTTCTCAGAATTTCCTTGTTTACTCCCCGTGCTTGTCACCAACATATTTAATTCACCATGTGGCAATATTTGGAAGTTTCACTCCCCATTGTCTGCTGCAGAAATAAGAAAGTCTCCAGCCAAGGGTGGCACAAGGGGTTAAGCACAGCATTATGAAGCAATCTGCAGCCTCTGCAGCACGAGTTCAATCCCTGGCCGGCCAGGGAGATACCCACATGGTGCAGCAGACCTCTCCTGTTGCGCCCACTGCTCCCCTCAGCAGTGTGTTTCAGTCAGTCTGCCTGTTCTGTTCCCCACTCTGTCTCTGGTGAATCCTCTCACCCCCTGTACCTCTGGCCTGTACCCCAGCTCTTGTATGAATAAATAAATAAATCTTAAAAAAAGGGTAGTCTCAATTGTCTTCCATAGGTCGATTCTCAAAGGGTATTTTATTTTTACTACATTGAACTGAAATAATGTACCAGTTGATGGTAATACTAGTGGTTTGGAGAGAGGGAGGATTATGGCAATTAGATGGTTAGAAGCTGAATTTTCTTTGATTTTTAAAATTCCAGGTTCTGTGGGTTGGTATGCTATACAATTGTACATTAGTTATGCTACATTTCCTTAGAAGTTTATTCACTTCTGGTCACTCAATGATGAGTACAAGGCTTCACATTAACTCATCACACAGGTGATTACATTCACTGTGTGACCTGCTGTTAGGAAAGTCCTGCTGCTGCTGACATTTGGTATTTTACCTATATGGTGCTTGGAAGTGAAAATCACTATGGGTAGAACATTTGATCTAGAATCTCCCCACATTCAGTCCCCAAAACTTGGAGTCAGTCTGGAGTATTCTTTCTCTCACACTCCAAATGTAACTTACAAGAAAATTCTCCTGGCCCTGCCTTCAAAATAAATCCAGAATCTAGTCACTTTTTATGCATATAAGTACTGAGGTTTAGGCCAGAGGTGCAGGGGGCGGTGAGAGGATTTACCAGAGACAGAGTGGGGAGCAGAACAGGCAAATTAACTAAAATACACTGCTAAGTGAAGCAGTGGGTGAGACAGGAGAGGTCTGCTGCGCCATATGTGACTTATGCTCTCTGGCCAGGGATGGAACTTGGGGCCGCAGCAGTGATAGAGCCTTAACCCCTATGCCACCAGGGAGGCCCAAAATCTAGCCACTTCTTATAATGCCATTGCTACCAGCCTGGTTGTTATCTTTATCTCCTGTGCTGGCACACCTCACAGAATTGTGCTTCACTTCATTGTGTTTCATAGATATTGAGTTTTTTTTTTAATTGAATGTTTGTGGCAACCCCGTGTCCAGCAAGTCTGTCAGTGCCATTTTTCCAACAGCATGTGCTCACTCCGGGTTTATGTGTCACATTTTGGTAATTCTCACAATATTTCAAACTTCTTCATTCTTTTTATATTTGATACAGTAATCTGTGATCAGTGAATTTGGATGTTACTTATATAATTGTTTTAGGGTACCACGAACTGCACCCATAAAAGATGGTGAACTTTTAATAAATATGTGGTGTGTGTTTTCTGACTGCTACAGCAGTTACAACCAGATGGGTCTTCTCCCACCTCTCTCCCTGCTCTTGGACCACCCAGTTCCTGAAACACAACAATACTGAAATTAGGCCCATTATAACGCTCTAGGGCCTCAGTGTTCAGGTGAGAGCAAGGGGTACACATTTCTCATCTTTTTTTCTGTAATATTTTTATCTTACCCTATTTCTACACGATGTTGGTGTTGAGTAATTAATTTCAACTGACAGAATTCTTTTTCCTTTTAGCACTTTAAATATATAATTTCATCATCACTTGCCTCTCAATTTTCTTTTTTCTATGTGTCATGATTCATTGTTCAAATTCGTACACTTTACAGGTTTTGATTTTAACTCTCATAAGTATTACTGGAACAATTGTCCTTATAAAACATCTTTGTGGGGGCCTCCCTGGTGGCACACGAGGTTAAGCACAGTACTGTGAAGCTGTCTGCAGCCTCTGCAGCATGAGTTTGATCCCCAGCCAGGGAGCTACCCACATGGCACAGCAGACTCTCTTATCTTGCCTGTTGCTCCCCTCAGGAATGTATTTCAGTCACTCTGCCTGGTCTGCATCCCATTCTGTCTCTGGCAAATCCTGTCACCCCCCCCACACACACCTCTGGCTTACACCCCAGTTCTTGTATGCATAAATAAATAAATTTTTAAAAAAAATAAGGAAGTTAAATAAATAGACATTTAAAACAAACAAAAGCTAGGGAAACTTGTCACAAGTCAACTCAAACTAAAGATTGATTCGTAGACCAAAGAAATAATAAGATCTGAGATAGAGGCACAAAGATTCAAAAGTAATAAAGAATAATGACATTGGCAAACATGTAGGAAAATCTAAATGAGAATTAATGGTGCAATATAGCGATAATTTCTTTGAATAATTTAAATATAAATTAGGTATATATAATTAAAATGTATAACAATAAATCAGGAGGGGCATTAATGAAATTAAATGTTGGAAGGTACTTATGTTACCCAAGGAGATGTAAAACAATTGATTTATATCAGACTGTGATAGGCGAAAATATATGTTGCAATTTGAAGGGTAAACACCACAAAAATGTCAAAACAATGTTTAACTACCAAGCCAGGTAAGGCAAAATTGAAAAAGGAAAAAATAATGATATCAAACATTACAAAAGAGAAGAAAAAAATTAGAACAGGGAAATAAATGTAAGGTGAACAGTAAGATGATTTAAACCAAATCATATCTAGAATTATATTACCTATAAAGGGACTGAAGATTTCAAATTAAAAAGAAGAGATAGCAGCTAAAAAACATTCATTCAATTAGATGCTCCTTAAAAGTGACAAATGTGAAATGTAAGAACACAGAAGATTTAAAAATTAAAAAAAGATTGCAAAAGATGTACTGTTTTTAAACACTGAACAACTGAAAGCTGGTATAACCATTTCATGAGAAAAATATGTACTTTCAGTAAAAACATTACTAGTGGAAAAGGGAGATTTCATAACAATAAAAGGTTCCATCCCACATGAAACTATTAAAACAAATTTTAAATTTGTATGCACCTTTTAACATAGAGCTAAAATATACACAGCAAAAACGACAGAAGTGGAAAATATATACAGAGTAAAAAAAAAAAAAAGAAATGACAGAAGTTAAAGGAGAAATGGGTAAGTCCACAGTCCCTGTGGGATAATTTGGGGCAGGGGGGAATTTTAATACACCTCACTGAGTAACATAAACAAAAAACCCGATCAGAGGAAGATTAAACAAGATGAGTAACAAAATTTACTTATTAGAACACTACGCACGGCAATCCATGCAACATTTCTTTTTTTTTTTTCCATGCAACATTTCAGAATAGATCCTTGTTGGGCCATAAAGCAAGCCTGGAATACCTCTATGGGATAATACAATGCACCCTGAATGATCACTGTGAAAATTCAAGGGTCATGGTGGGTCCCCTGCACTCTCCCCTACCTCAAGTGTGCATTCCAAAATGCACACTTAATTTCCAAAACTTCCCACCACAGGTGACCCTCCCCACTTCCCAAATCCTGGACCAGAGAGGACAACTTGACTCAGGCATTTCCCCTCAACCAAGGGGAATGTCTCTGCTGTCATGAAGACAGCCAAGGGAGGGAGGTTTTTCTGTGTGGAACCAAGAAGGGTGTGTCAGAGCTCACTCAGCCTATTTCCTCAGGAAAATGGAAAATAGCCTAGGACCTATATAAAGCCCCCTCATTTGAAGGGGGGTTCACTGAATATTCTGTGGGTTGGGGTGGGAGAGGGAACCCAGACTCCCTCCTGTCTTGTGGGGAGCTGAGGCCAGAGCCTCATGCTGACCAACTCACCCTGGTATTGCCTGAAGGCAGTGAATTGTCCCCACTGTCCCCACAGAGTGTTTGTGAGGAAAATCTGTGAGATTTAGAGCTGGGAATTCGGAGAAGATCCAGAAAGGCGGGAACAAGCAGCCCCCAAACCACTTTGTCAGGGACACACAAATAAAATGGAGTCCTTACAGGAAGTGCCTTCTCCAGGGCATAGAGAGGAGAGTTCTGGGAGACAGAGGAGACTTACCTTCCTGTTATTACTGCCCCCTAAGTTTGCTACCAGCCAAACACCCTGGAAACTGTTTCCAACTGAACCAGCTCCACAGTTAGCAAGAAGAGTTCAGAGGACTGGGTCCCAGGAGATGTTTTATAGCTGCAAACTCAGAGAACTTGGAGAGTCATTTGTGGCCAGGCTCTGTGTGGGCTGCCTTATGTTTCATGTATTCCTCACAAGGGGACTTCTATCTGTGGATTTACCACTCCTTACCCCCACTGAACTGACTATAGCTCAGGGAGGTATAAAAACTTGTCTGGAGTTATTCAGCTATTACATGGGGATGCAGACACTGGAACTGCACTTCAGAGAACGGACACGATCTCATCATACAAAGCTTTAATGAACTGTATAATATATCAGATTTACTTCACAAAAGGTGATGCTAAAGATCTGGAAAATAGTCACATGGCAGGGAATAACTCTAGACCATCTTAAGTCATCCTGGGGGGCCAATCTAGAATGTGTAAAGAGAGAGCAAACATAGTTTTGGGGGCACTGGAATGAGAGTAGAAAAAAAAAAATCACACCTTTTTCTTAACAAAAAAAAAAGTCGTGGAAAAAGATGCTCCCTGTTGGTCAGAACCCAAATTGTAGGTCTGAAGGACTCAGTCCAAAAGGCTTAGTTAGTAATGGGGAGACAGTGAAACAGGAGCTGGGATCCAGTGTATCGACCAGAATTTTCTGCTATTTTCCACCATAAGGCACCAATACCTTCTTGGGTTTCTGTGCCCTGAGAGATGTCATCCAACCTCTGAGTGAACTGAACATAAATAAGCCCATAAGAAAGTGAAACTTTGGGGTGAGGGAAACAAACACAAAAACACATGCACATACATAAACTGACAAGCTGCAACTGTTTTATTTTTGATTTAAATTTTTTTCAAAGTTAGGAAACATAGGGCCTCCCCAGTGGCGCAGCGGTTGAGCGCTGGGTTGCGAAGCTGCCTGCAGCCTCTGCAGCGCCGGTTTGATCCCCGGCTGCCAGGCGAGGGTCCCACATGGCGCGCAGACCTCTCCTGCCGCCCGCTGCTCCCCTCAGCAGTGTGCTTTGGTCCTTCTGCCTGTTCTGCTCCCCGCTCTGGCTCTGGCTTCTCTCACCCTCCCGTGCTTCTGACTGCACCCAGTGCTTGTATAAATAAATAAATAAATCTTTAAAAAAAAAAAAGAAAGAAAAAAAAGTTAGGAAACATGCATACGTATATCAATGTTAGACTTTTCACTGTTTCTCTCAACAAACTTGCATAATTATGACATTAAGCATGTATATGTGTTTGTAAAATAAAATCATCCCTCATCATTCATGTATATGATCCCTTATGACCCAAAGAAACATGCATTTTCTAGATGTTTAAGGTAGGTGCTTACTTATTATAAAACATTTGTAAGTATTATACAATTATGTATTTATATGTACATATACACACATAATATGTGTAGACACAAATTTGTAGTCACATTAATGTCTGCAAATTAGATTTTTCACTCATTGTGACGTCTCTGGGTTTTCTTTACTTTGGGCAATGTGGTTTAGCCTCTGTGCAAACATTTATTGGAGAATCACTTTGTTTTTTCAGTAAACTAATCGCTAATATTTTTGTCCCTTTTGCTCCTGGCTGGCAAAAGCCCTTAATGTATTAATATTAGCTATATTGTTTGCAAATGTCTTCTCCCTGCTTTTCATTTTTAAATTCCTTTTCCTTTGGCAGTGTAGAAAATATTTCAAAATTTTCATGGCATTTATGACTGTAAACTAATTCAGGTCTTTTTTTTTTTTTAATGATAATAAGATAAGTTTTATTTTAGGTACTCTCACATTATTTACAAGTTTCTTAAGAGTCCCAATATGAGCCCAATTTTCAAGTGCTCATTTCCTCCAAGGCCCTGAGGGAAATTCTTCATTTCTTCCTAATACTTTTTTTTTTAAATAATAAATTTTATTGTTATATTCCCCATACAATTGCAGCCCCCCCTTCTGACCCCAATCCCTCCCCTCCCACCCCCGCCCCCCTAAAAGTGTCTCTGGTTCATAGTTTTTTGTTGATTTTGATTTTCACTTTCTTAAAGTTATTCATTTTCCTGGTCCCTTATTTAAGTTTTCTAGATTCCTGCTATGAGTGAGACCATCCGGTATTTTTCTTTTTTTTTGGCTTATTTCTCTGAGCATGATCCCTTCCAGCGCCATCCATGTTGCTGCAAATTGCATGTGTTTATCTTTTTTGAATGCTGAATAATATTCCATGGTATATATGTACCACATCTTCTTGATCCAGTCATCTATTTTTGGGCATTTGGGTTGTTTCCAAAGCTTAGCTATTGTAAACAGTGCTGCTATAAACATAGGGGTGCAGGTGCCCTTTGGAATTGATGTTTCTGTGTCTTTTGGGTAAATACCTAGGAGTGGAATTGCTGGATCATATGGAAGTTCTATGTTTAGTAGGTCCAGAAATCTCCACACAGCTTTCCATAGTGGTTGGACCAGTTTGCACTCCCACCAACAATGCAGAAGAGTTCCTTTTTCTCCACACCCTCGCCAACATTTGTTGTTGCTAGTTTTTTTAATATGTGCCATTCTCACTGGTGTAAGATGGTATCTCATGGTAGTTTTGATTTGCATTTCCCTGATGACAAGTGATGTTGAACATTTTTTCATATGCCTGTTGGCCATTTGCATTTCCTCTTCAGAGAAGTTTCTTTTTAGCTCTTCTGCCCATATTTTGACTGGATTATTTTCTTTGTTGTTGTTGAGTCTCGTCAGCTCTTTGCAGATTTTTGTGATCAGTCCTTTATCATTAGTGTTGGGTGCAAAAATGTTCTCCCAGTTGTGGGTTTCTCTTTGTTTTGTTATTGTCTCTTTTGCTGTGCAGAAGCTCTTTAATTTGATGTAGTCCCAGCTGTTTATCTTTGTAATTCAGGTCTTTTTTAAGGGCAGAGTGGTAACCGAAGGACAAGAGAGAATAGCAAGTAAGGAGAAGGGATCCTGGAGATGGGAGAATTCTGAGAGGAAGCCAAGCCAGGGGGAGGGAGCAGTGGGGGGTTCTGAGGGACTCTCTACACTTACTCACCTTCCTTGACAAGAAGCAGAGCATGGCTTCCTGAAAGGGAAGTGCCCAGGTGCTCAGTCACCACCAAAGCCTCCCACCCACCTGTGGCTTTCTGGGCCTGCCCAAGGGAGGAAGCGGGTGCTCACCGTGTGGGCCCACAAGTCCACCAGGAAGGAGCCCAGGTCATGCTGAGTTTGGGGCAGCACGCACAGGGTGCTCACAATCTCAGGGCTTGTATGTCTCAGCAGCTGATACCGCGTGTCTGTGGGGGCGGAGGGGGCGATGCAAGCAAAGGTCAGGGGCCGCCACACACTGGGCCCTGCAACTGACACACACCCCCCTTCGTGCCCTTTCCCTGCCCAGTCTCCCCCATCACCCACTTACAGGGGTCCTTGAGCTTTATCATGTTCTGTTGTCTTTGAGGTACTGCCACATGTTGCTAATAGAAGAGGAACAGGAGGTGGTGTCAGGCCAGTGGGGGTGTTCTCAGGAGCTGACCCTTGTCTGCTGCGGAGTCCAGGCAGCGGGATGAGAGTCTGGGCTGTGATACTCATGGAGCTGTGTCCCCAGGGCTGAAAGTCGGGGAGAAGCAGGCTGGTTCGTGATAAATACCAAGGAGACTCTTCCGTTTCCCATAGTCATAGATCCAGTAATACCTGCGGGGAGGCAAAGGACAAAGTGGATCTCTGTGATCTGGACCCCAAATGAGATACAAAGACCCACTGAGCCATCCTGAGCCTTAGTGACCCCATCTCTCCAGGCCCTCCCTTTCCTTGTGGCCCCAGGAGTACTTACTGCTGCAGGAATTGCAGAATTACATTCTTCAGTGTCTCAGATCCAAAGAAGCTTCCCTGAAACGAAAACAGTCAGGACTATGGCTGATAGTGGTCCTCATGCACCCCCTGAAGCCCTGCTTGATCCTCCTCCTCACCTTGCAGGCTGGCAACTTCTTCTGGGCTTGCAGATCAAAGTCACTTGGGGGGCAGTGAGTCCTGCCCTTCCTGGGAAGCAAGAGCAAGTCAGCAGCGCAGACCAGGAGGTGCTCCTGGTCGATCAGGGGAAAGGAAGGGACCACCAGGGCAGGGTGAGGGTCAGAGGTCAGGGGTAAAATGGCCCTGGAAATTCCAGGGCCAGGGATGCAGGGGGGCTCATCACCATGGCGTGCCAGAATTTGTGGAGAACTTGCGAGAAGGCCCAGAGCCTCTGTCAGCTTCCCACGTGGGGCTGCACCTCCATGGGTTTAAGGGTCAGATCTATGGTGTACCTTGGACAAGCCCTAAGGGGGTTCAGTGGGTGGCATCAGTGCCAGTTAGAAGAGCCAATGAAGAGGAATACAATTACCAGGTGCATTAACTTGGGGAACAATTCCAGGATGGAGCTGCCAAAATCAAGACAAAACAGAGAAGTGAAACTTGGGGCGGAGGTGGCTGGGGCGGGGCAGCACCCACACCAGAGACAGCTCCTGCCTCCCAGTCGTCCAGGGCCCTGGGCACCTTCCCATGGACTGACAGAGGCAGGTCTCTCTCCCTCCTTTTCCCTCCAACCTCTCGCCCCCCCACCTCCCTCTCCACCACAAGACACAGCATCTGGAGTCCAGGCCCCAGGACTCCGCCCCCTCCCTGCCTCCCTCTGTGTCCCCCCTGAGGGCTCCAGAGAGAAGAGGGCATGGCCTGGGAGCCCAGGGCGCTGCTGCCTCACTTGGGGCCCAGCACTGTCCCAGGATCAGGACC